ATTATGTTGACATGCTTACTACTGAGAAATTCTCTTCTAGTAAATGAATAGTTGTCTGTATCATGAGGAAAGCCTCTTCCTTTCCAAGATGGTATAATTTCCATCTCGTTTGCCTGCCTTTATTACTTCGCCTTCGCTGAAACCTGTTCATACCTTGTTTAAATAACCAAAGGGGTAGAGGTTGGGGGTTAGGGGTGGTGAGAGATTGCTCAAAGGTTAAGAGCACTTGCTGCCCTCCAGAGGACCCCAGTTCAGATCCCAGCACCCATATTCTGTTCCCAGTACATGTGTTGACCAACTAGCAATCCTGTCACTGCAGCTCCAAAGGATCCAGTACCCTACAGATGGCTTTCAATCAAGAAGACACCCATACTCATACATGTAAATAAAAATAATGAAAATTAAATCTTTAAAGAATGTCCACCTAATTTTGCCTCTTCACAGTCAATATTGACCTTAACACAAGAGATTTCAGTCAAAGAGTATAGGTAAAAACCTAGTTGATATAGATTTTAAAGAGGATGATGGGAAAATGACGGTGAAGAGAGATACTTCAAGTTTTGTTGTGAAGGGAGGTACGTAATGGCAAACGTCTTTTTTAAAAGATGGATGGTGTTACTCAAAGTGTACACATGAGACCACTCCGGAATAAAAAGGGAAGGCTTTATGGAGCACAGAGTAGATGACAGTGGAAGAAGTTGGGGTCCAGGACATAAGCAAAAGGCTTGACTGAGACAGGGGGACATATATTTGTTCATTGTAACAGCAAAAAAGGTGATGGCCCAGCCTGGTAAGAGTGATGAGAGAGGGTTATTCTTTGGTTGCTTTTATTTCCTCAGTGAAATAAAAAGCAAAAGCATCAGCATGAAGAGAGGAAAAGGTGGGACAGGCAAGATACAAGAAGAGAGAAGGCAGAGTGAGGCAGTGATGAAGATGGTAGAACAGAGTGAATTAATGGGAAAATTAATGGGAAAGGAGGCCAGGCGCACTGAGAACTTGACTGAAGTGTGTGGTATTTAACTTAAGAAACACTCAGCATGCTAGTGAGTTTGTTCTGGAACTCATTCAGCTCTCTGGTCAGAGATTTAGTATTTCTGTCAACATCTTACTTGGAGACATGAACAAACTTCTGTTCACCCCAGAGAGGGCACTGATTAACAACTGTCCAAAGTAAGGATTCCACCAAGGTCCAACTTGGTAAACCAATGGGTTTTGGGGGCTTATTGGAACACGGGTGAGGGGATACTTATAGAAGCTTGGGTAACCCCCAAATAACTGCATCATTACAAAATAAATCCCACCCCATGATGAATGACAACTTCATGAAAGCTACATCATGAAGTCCCCTTTTTGTTAAATTGACATTTCCTATAAACTAAACTCTTAACATCTCTCATGGTCACTTATAGCTGGGGGTGGCAGATTGGGTAATAGCTGAAGTCTTAGGTGAGGGTCCTGTGACCACCCGCTGTTTCTGCTCCATTACCATGATCATAGGCTTAGCTATCTCATATTGTATTACTCATTTAGTTGCCATGGCTACAAAGCAAGAGATTGCTCCAGGATGGCAATGGGTTGAAAATGCTATGCCCAGAGGAAAAAGCCATATCGCCCCACATGTCTAGTAAAGTCTATGTTGAAGAGGGCAAGGGAGTTGAAAGCAATGCAAGAGAAATCTCATCCTGCAAGACAGGAAGTGAGCAACTGAGGAGAGTATGAACGGTGGGAATACAGCCTCGAGGATACATGAGTTTCAAGGAATGGCTCTGTTAAGAACATTCTGAGAATGGACCAGAAGAAAGGATTGCTGTTTGAAACAGAGGTTTAAGGAACATACAGTAGCTGATAAAAGCCAGGTCTAAAGTATAGTCGGCACAATCTGTACTGACACAGATTATAGGACAAGGTCACTTGGAGGCTAGAGAGGTCATAGTACAGAGACCGTGTTGGAGCCCGAAAGAGGAGGGAGAACAGCAAGAGAGTGTTTTTAATTCAACAAGTGGTATGAATGACTTCCTCTTGGCCATTGAATATCCCCCATAACATCAAAGTTCCAGAACCTGGTTGAAGGTCCCTCCAGTAAACAGGGACTCTGACAAGACATTTCATGAGTGCTGATGTAGACTGAGCAGTCTATCACTAAGAGCTGCTAGTTCCATCCCATTCACACACACACACACACACACACACACACACACACACACACACCCCGTAATCAATCTCTGTCTCTGTCTCTCTCTCTCTCCCATTCCCCCTCCCCACTGTCCTCATGGAACTGTTACTAGAACCCTGTCTGATGTGTCTGTTGATGCCTCTTATTGCTCTACCTTTTTCAACATTTTCTGACAAGCCAGCTCCTCAGCTCCTGTTCAATTTTCCAGTGAAGTTGTGTTATCAAGGGAGAGAAGTTCCCATTACTCACTGAGCTTCTGTTTAGATAACTTATTAGTAATCTTCTTGCAAATATTTTTTGTAGGAGCCCTCAGCTTCCCTCAGCTCTTCTCAGATCAGTCCCTACTCCCCACAAAGTCCTCTAACCTACTCTATGTAGTTGGAAGTAACTGATGCAGATAAGGGCTGCAGGCCTGGCTTGTGGCCTTTGCATGAAGAATAAATGTTTTCACCAAATGTCCTGATCCCAGTTGTTGTTCCAACCAAAATTAGGAATTTATATTTTTTGCTCATTTTCTGAGGTCTTGCATGTACTTTCTCCAAAAGCCAATTAAATGTTCTCCTACAATTATGGAGCAAAAATTCATGACTAGCACGTTGTCATTTCTTCAAATTCTCAGCACTGTGCTAACAATATGTATTTAAGACTGTAATTGCTGATTAGTGTTCAGAATTAGGGCAATCATACAGAAAATAGTCCTAAAATGTACTTAAAGATATTCTAAACATGGTGGAATAGATTTTATCCTCATGCTGACTGCCCAGGAATAATAGAGATTAGATTGTCAGCCTAATGGAAATTAATATTGAAATTTGCTTTCTTCCTTTTGACACAGGTTTTAATTAGTATGCCTTCCATTTGCTTGGTAATCTCTGACAGACTTGGAGATATTTAGGGCTCATGAATGACATTTACTATTTCATTTCTGAATATTCTTATTCTCCGCAAAAATATAGTATGAACTGTGACACTTTCTTCGACAACCTCCTTTCATTGTTTTCATTCCAGTCCTCTAGTTATGCTAACTTTTATTGTACAAATGTACCGGGCTCCTTGTCTACTGCAGGGGTCACAATTTGCCTTGTTTCATAAATGTTTCTGATTCTAATTTCCACTCATGCCTCCCCTCCCTTGCACACATAGAGCTGCCTCCTTTCATCCTAAACGCAACACCTCTCAATGAAAATCCCTCAGATGGTGCCACTCTTACTCTTTTTTTTAAAAAAAATTATTTTGTTATTTTTATTTTCTGTGTATGATTGTATTGCCTGCATATATGTGAGCGCACCCATGTCATGCAATGCCACGGAAGTCAGAAGAAGGGTTCAGATTCCCCTGGAACTGGAGTTAAGGACGGTTCAAAGCTGCCATGTGGGTGCTGGGACTCAAACCAGGGTCCTCTGCAAGAACAGTCAGTGCTCTCAACCACTGAGCCATCTCTCCAGCCCCCCACTCTTATTCTTAGACCAACCAGTATATACATGGTGCTATTAAAATATCCTATAGTTCTTTCTTTAGTGCACTTGTCCTATAAAAATATCTTTCACACCTAATAATAAGAACAAATTTATCTATTCAATGACTTTCTAACACACTCAACTCTGAGCTCATTGACGATAAGGCTGTCCATTCCTCCAATAATTAGCAAAGGATCTTGAACCTAGTTAGATGTATTAGCATGTTCAGTGATGTTTGAGATGAACCACAGAATAACTTTAAGCCTAAAGTGGTTGCCCTTCCAAGTTTGAGAACTTATGTGTTCAAACTTTAAAACATGCTTAGCTGTTTAAGTGTAGTTATGTGTAACTGGGAGGTGGACTTCAGTTTTATGTAGAAAAATCTGTATTCCTGGTACTCATAGTCACATTATAAGCATACTACCAGTCAGGATAATTGGCATTTACTTCCACAGACATAAATGAAAACTGCCCCCACAACCCTTGAAAACACAATTCAAAATCTAAAGTCATCAGTCAATAAGAACATTGTGAACTAAAAGAAAGATCCTGTGTAAGATGATACCATCTTGAGATATTCCTTCATTTATTGATTTTAAATGGTATTTTTCTCATTTAAGTTAGTCATTATACAAGTCATTTTTAATTCCACATGCATCTGAAGGTTATATATGTTAATTTATAACAAACAAAATAATAATTTTCAAGTTAAAAATCTAATTTTTTGTTCCTTATTATTTTCTCTTTGGATCAAATCATAAAATATTATACACTGGTCACATTAAAAAAACATGCTTTTTTAAGTCAAAAATTCCAAAATGAAAGATTCTGTGTTTTACAATTGTATTTCTAAAATATTGTCCTAATTTGATCACATAAGTACTAGAAAATTAGTTATGAAACATCAGTTATATTTGGTACTGTTATGGCAGTTCACATTTGTTGAAATACAAATTTGATAAAGTTCAACATTAATGCCATCCTTTTTTGAGAAAAGCATTATTTTCAAATTTATTTCTATTAAGTGGATTATGTGAAACCTGTCTTTGTGAACATTTCACAGATTCCATGTACATGGTTTGGTTACACTTTTCCCTACCTTTTCTAGCATTTTTTAGAGAGTAGTATATTAGCAGAAATGGAAAGCTGTCATGGCCTGCCTACCACACCAATGAGTATGGAAATGAGGCAACTGCTTCAGATTTGGGATGACTGAGGACTGACACGTTCATTCTGATGATTAGTAATCACTGATTAGTGATTAGAAATCAGGGTGCACTGAAGTTGAGTCATTAAAAGTCAGAGTATAACTTGAATCTCTGTTAGAGCAAGAACTATTGACTTTTGAACCCCTGAACACTCTCTTCTAGCTGCTTTCGAAATCTATTGAACAACTGAAGCAACCAGGCAGCCACCTTGAAGAAGCAGAGGAAGAGCTTCAGGGGGACCAAGCCATGCAGGAAGACAGAGCACCCTCTAGTGACAACAGCACTCGGAGCGACAGCAGTGCTTGTGTCGATGACACACTGGGACAAGTTGGGGCTGTGAAGGTCAAGGAGGAACCAGTGGACAGTGACGAAGATGCTCAGATACAGGAAATGGAATCTGGGGAGCAGGCTGCTTTTATGCAACAGGTAATAGGCAAAGATTTAGCTCCAGGATTTGTAATTAAAGTCATTATTTGAACATGAAATTCATTGCAGGTTTTGGTAAATGATCATTTCTTATCAGTTTATATCTCTGATTTTAGTGCTTAAGAATTATAACACAGATAACTGCATTTATCTATATAGAGATCTCGGACACTGATCTCTGAATAGGTATCAAGGTTTCATTGAGTCTCCACTGATAAGAAAATGCCTGTTATACTGAATTATGCTACGTAATATCCAAGTAACCAATGGGCTTTAAATTTATTTCAAAGTCCTGAAACATCAATTACTTCTAAAGAAAATGAATACACTGCTATTTTCATTTCACTGCTGAGATCACTAAGTACCGGATACAGTCTTTCAGTCTGATCAATGACGCATTCTATTAGATGTTTTTTAACATCTAAAATTCAGTTTTCACACCACTGTACATAATGTGTTGTACCAGAGTCTTGAACACTGTTGAAGGTAGTCTGCCCCTTTTTTTCCTCTCTATTTTTTTTTTTTTATTAAATAGAACTATTTCGGTTACCATACCAGTAGCCCTAGGTTATTGTGTAGAGTACAGCTGAAAATATTAGGAATTCAGGTGGTTTTAAATATATAGATGCAAAATGAAGTATTATTTAAAATATCAAATATCACATTATGTCTCACATAGCACTGCACATTTACTTTAATATTGTGTAATTTGGTGACATTGTACATTGAAAAAAATCAAATGGAGTAGATGCAAATGTTGGTGATAAGTAATGTGCAGCATTACAGTCCAGTCAGATGCTCTACTGTAGCTACAGTTGTAGAACACATATGATGATCACCTGGCATCATGTTAAAAATAAGTTCTACAGGAGGTTGAATTATGTTTTATATTTGCTATTATTAGACTCTCTTGCCTACAAGTCCATGGCATATACCATATCATTTTGGCAAATAAAAAATTGTGGACATTGGATTAAACAGACGAATCTCCTTGTACATAGCATACCTTCGGAAGGACCATGTCCTTTGATGCTATGAAAATACACACGACTTTGAAGGCAACAGAAGACAGTGTTTATTTAAGTCAGTTCTTTGTCAGGTTCCTGCTGTTCCCCTACAGAAAAGTGATTCTGTGAGGCTGAACAGGAAATGCCTTGTGGAAACAGGAAGTCCAAGTGATTCATGTACTGAGGAATTTGGAGTGGGGGGTGGATCTGAGGATGGTGTTTTACTTTCTGTTTTTAAAGGGCACTCTATGAATTGATTTATTGTCTAAGAAAATAACACCCCAAGTAGGGAAATCGTTCCGGAAGCTGTTTGCTGGAACATTTCCTTCATATTCACTTTTGATATGTTTACCTTGTTTTATAGGTTTACTTTTGTTAAGCTAGTTAAAGGTTCCCTGTATTAAGACCCCTTTACTATGGATAATCCAAATTGACCTAGAATCTTTGTGAGATTTTTTTCTATTAAAATATTTATATTTCTAAATCTGAGGTATTTTAAGGTGTGTAGTATCCTGTTTCAAAGAGATATTACAGTTTTGCCAAATATAGACATTGTTCAACTGTATGTTATTGGCACGTGTTGTTTACATTTTGCTGTGACATTTAAAATTATTTCTTTAAAAATGTTCCTGCTAAAGATACATTATCCTTTTTTAAAAAGTCTCCATTTGAATTAAATTAACATAACTAGAAGTTAGAAAGTTAAAACGTTTCCATATAATGAAAGTCCTTCTGATAATTTGACACGTAGCTCTAATAAGCAAATCTCCCCCTCATCAACATATTTCGGTTAGTATATTCCTTCATATTAAAATTACTTTTGTCAGTTGTTTTGCATTAAAAATATGGCATGCCTAAGATAAAATTGTATATTTTTCCATCTCATAAATATTCATTTTCTTCAAATTCTTTTTTCAATCTCATAAAAAAGGGATAGTGCATCTTTTAAAATACATTTTATTTGGGGAGGAACATGTGGCTGAGCAGACTTTTGTATAATATTACTTCAAAGATATGTAATCACAAACAAAAAAAACCCTATTTTTTATAATGTCATTTGTGAGAACTTCATCAGTACATTTGGTGGACATTAATTGTTTGAATTTGATAGTCTTTGAATTTAGTCAAGAAACTACCTGGAACCAGTGAAAAGGAAAGCTGGACTTAAATAACCTTAGAACTAATTGATAATTGTCTCTTTTAAAATCTACTGTATTTATTATGATTTGCACCCTTGGAGGTGATCTCTTGTTTTGTGTTGTAAATATATTGTTTGTATGTTTCCCTTCTTGCCTTCTGTTATAAGTCTCTTCCTTTCTCAAATAAAGTTTTTTTTAAAAGATCCCTTTTCATACATTTGGCTTTGTGTAGACTTGATATATTTAATTGAATCTGAAGCTTGTACAATAGGTTGCATATACAAAACTTTATTGGCTTTTTTTTGTTGAAATGAGACAACGAAGATACTTTGAGCAGTTACCTCTAATACCATTAAAAATAATACACTCAGCAATGATGAGCTTAAACAGTTTACATGAACCATTATCAAACAGCAGACATGTAAAAGTTGTTACATTCACTTTCAAATGAATACTGGGATTCAAATTAAAATGTCATCCCCTAAATATAAATTTTTTAATAAATAGGAATCAATTCTTAATGCTACTCAACTTAAAAAAATAGTTTAATAAACTTAACCCAGGACTGGCAAGATGGCACAGTGGGTAAAGGCACCTGTTACCAAACCTGACAATTTGAGTTTGATTCCTGGGTCCCACATGGTAGGAGAGAACCAACTTCTGCAAGTTGTCCTCTGACATCCACACGTGGGCTGTGGCACACACATGCCACGCACACACACACACACACACACACACACACACACAAATAAATAAATAAATAAATATAAATGAATAAATGTAATAAAAATTATAAAAATTAGCTTAACATAGTCCCTTGAATATAACAAGTACTCAATAATCATTAAAATTAATATTTTTCATAAATATCATAATAATTGTCTATTCTAAAGAGATTCTGAACCACAAATAAAAGTGGCAGTTAATAAATTTGAGAAAAGAATAAGTAAGAGATCTTCCCATTTATGATAGCAATTATTATAATACTTGTGTGAAAAACAAAGAGCCAACCCAGACAAAGTCAGCCGTAGCCTAGGCATCACACGGGCTGGGCCAGAGCTTCCTACCTTACTCCTCTTCTGATTTTCTGCCAAGAATCTTACTGTCAGTGCTTCAGACGGTGTTGCTGTGTGTTTGGTTAGAAGAGTTAAAAGCAATTTTTTTAATGTTCTTTGGTTCATTTCATCTAATTTTTAATACTGCTTGCAAGTTATGGTTTCTGAAGTTACTTCTGTGTTGCAGTATTGGAGAGTCAGGAAGTATGGAGTGATGACTACTGATTATTACTCATGGATTATCATTCTGTAATGCTATTGGGGAAAGTGGTCGCTGAACTGTAGGCTTCTGCTCTTCATAGAAACTAGAAAGGTAGTCTTTGTTTGTTTGTTTTTTAAAGGATGGTAAAAGGTGATTTAAAAACAACATATTTTTAAAAAATGTACCTGATTTATATCTAGAATAATAAAAGCACAGTAACTTTTAAATTACTTTGTGACTTTTTTCAATAATTGGAACATGCAGTTCTAAATCATTGAATATGTATAAATGGATATAGAACTGACACACAATTCTAGTCTATAATTGTGACCAATCCCAGTGAGGAATTTGGAGAAACAAGAAATGAAGTTTTTATTCAATTTGTTAAGTGCAGCACACCAGATTTTAAGAGAAACAAACAGGCAGGTGGGGGTCAGAGAATATAGACAAACAATAGCAAAATTGGGAATATGACTTTCGAATCAAACTTAGATGTATTTAGATTTTAAGAGCACATTTCTATTCTTATAGTTGCATCTCCTGTCATAATAACTTGATTCTTAGAAACTGTTTTTGGACAGTGAAAAATGCTTGCATCTCATTTATTAAAAAGGCTTTACTTTTAACTATTAATATTCTACAATGCATGTGGTCTAGTTTTAAGCACCTTGTATCTAGTAACCCCTTCAGTCCATGCATACCTATCAAATTTAATGGTCACAACAACCCTTTGGAGGATGATATTAATATTATTCCATCATAGAGCAGCGGTCACTAGGGCACAGGAAAGACAAATTAAAGTCACTCAGTTCCTGGCAGTGGCAATATAACTTGAGTGAGAACCCAGGCATTCTAACATGAGAATCTGTATTAGCAACTCTGACCTTTGTGCTGTTTGAAAATGACGCTTTTATACCCAAGATGCTTATTTCTGTCCTGTTTATTCAGTTGCTACTAATTCTCTCTCCTCCCTTATTTCCCCCTCCCCACTTTTCTATTAACATTTAACAAACTGATTTGAATCATGTCTTTAAATCATTACTATAAATGTCAAGATCAGGATACTGCTAATTCACAGATAAAGATTCCATTTCATGCACATATGATACTCATGTTTCATCATGAAAACCTGTGGAAGTCTTCTGACCACTGCTGGTGTGAAGTGAAACCGTGGCTTCATTTTGGGTTAACTGTGGAGAGGAAGGAGAAAAGGGGCTTCAACTAGCTGAGCTGTCTTTCGGGCCCTGTCTTATCGCTTCTGCCCACTACCAAAATGAAGAGTCTAGTGCCTAAACAGGGCACTGTCTCTTGCAAACTTTTTAAACTATTAAGGTGACACACATAATCATTTTGACCTAAAATAGTCTGTATAAAATGTAAAAGAGGAAAATGGGCTCATTTGTAGAGCTCTAGACCTCCAAGGGGGATTTCTGAGTCTAAGATTCATAAAAATCTTTCTGAGGGAAATTTAGATTCTGATCACACCCATGGGTTCTGATCCCATTGTCCTGATAGGGAGTTGTCCTGAGGGGAGAGTCCATTTCACTATCAACTTTGGAGATGATTTAGAGCTCTGACTACTTCCTAATGCATGGCC